GCATTTGGGTGGTGTCAGCATTTACCAAGCCAAGTCAGAGAGAAGCTGTAACCTTGGGAGTTTAATGCAAGCCTGGAGTGCCCAGTATTAATTTTTAGAATCCTTGCAGGCCCCCACCTTCTGCACTCGAAGTGCCAGAGTGGGGATTCAGCCTTGACAAGGTCAAACTAGATGATCATGATGGTCCCTTCTGACCTTAAACTCTATGAATCTATCAACCTTTTTTCATATTTAGTCCAATTTTCACTCCACGTCACAATGCTCATTAGCAAGCCAGTTTGAATCCAGTCTACAGTTCGGTTGCTCTGAATTCACTCATCCTGTATCTGATGACAGATTTATTTGGGGAGAGGGGCAGGAGGCAATCCTTCATATTAAGGAATAGTTTCTTATCAGATTCTAGTTACCAGGTTTCTCTTTTTTCCTTTGTTTGATGTTCTCTATCACCTGGATGTTTTTTTAGTCCTCTGGTAGCCGTCCAGCTTCTGATATTTTTCCCAGAAATTACCATTCTAATAAATCCATTTAGTCACTGGTGATACATATATCAATAAAACTTATCAGACATGAAAACGTGTCCAGTTCTCATGTTGCCTTCTTTGCATGGACAATGACCAGGTACTGATTACTCTTCCATGTGAGATTTTGTTCTTGTTACATGTGATGCAAATTCAAAAACTCTCTCACCAGTTTTTCTCATTACTTTGACTTTGCTTTTTAATGTAGTATCAGCTTTGCTAAATCCTGAATTCTGTGCAGACCTTAAAACTGTAATTTGTCTGCTCTCTGCTAAGCCTTTTAAGTGTATCTGTTCATAACATTTAAAACATTAAATTAATGGAGATGTCCTATCTCCTAGAACTGGAAGGGACCTTGAAAGGTCATCGAGTCCAGCCCCCTGCCTTCACTAGCAGGACCAAGTACTGATTTTGCCCCAGATCCCTAAGTGGCCCCCTCAAGGATTGAACTCACAACCCTGGGTTTAGCAGGCCAATGCTCAAACCACTGAGCTATCCCTCCCCTCCAAGAATAAAGTAATAATGCATATTGTTAGCATAAACCTAAATAGAAAATTTCACACTCTTGCAGCCAGTCAAGCAAGGGACTTGTTATCAAAAATGCTGGTTATAGATGCTTCTAAAAGAATCTCTGTGGATGAGGCTCTGCAGCACCCATACATCAATGTCTGGTATGATCCATCTGAAGCAGAAGCAGTAAGTACTTGGCTTTGGTCTCTTGTTAGTGGGATACTCTACTGAAGGAAGCAAACTTGGAATGTGGTGATTGATATCATTGCTTGCCATAATAATACACTACATTTCTGACATGCAGCTGTCAGAATTATAGCTGAAATTGGTAGATGTGTTTGTTAGAATTTTCTCTCTAGGGGCCAAAATTTCAGGCAGTTGTAATTCATCTGTATTTCTATGCATAATCATAATGATTGTACCTACAAATAAGACATGCAAATATAGCACTTGAAAATCTCCTGAAAATCAGGCCCTGGATTTATTAAACCAAATATTTGCCTTTGCATACCTGTTACATTTAACAAGAATATGAGTCATTGACTCCTGGGCAAGAAAAGAGGAAGAAGGTATTTTCTAGTTAGGGCAATTTGGTAGTATCTCAACACTAACAAAATAGGAGCCAGAGGCAAAACTCCAGTGCAGGAGCATGTGCTGTCAAATATCACCACTGGTGAATGTGATTTAGGTAAAACATAAAAGCATATCACTTTTTAAACAATTAACTTCCGGCTTATTGAAATAAGATGAAAAATAACAGTGTCTGAACAGAAGGAGGTAGTTGGCTCTGACCTAGTAAGAATTGAAGAAGACACTTCAGCATCGTAAACAGTATTTCATGTAAATGGTGCAACTAGAATTCTACAGAATATTTACAGCTGGCAGAGAAGAAAATGAACTATTGACAGTAAATGCCCCCAAAGGGCAATCAGGCATGGAAGATGCTGTACCTAGGTACAATGTCTCCATTTAGCCCCCTTTGTCAAACATAACTGTAATAATGCAAGGAAAACTATTAATCACTAGGAATCTGAAACATCACATGAAGTATAAAAAAGTGGCCAGACATGAGATGACTATGTTTCTAACAGTTCTGGTGAGGCATGACGCTGTATTTTTAAAAGATTGGGTTGGGATTCTGAAAGCTATTCTTTGTACAACAGCCTTCCTGTTAGGTGATGTGTGTTTTCCCTTTCATTTCACTGTAGTTGTTTGAGTTGTTTATCATGCGTCAATTCTGTTTGCAGCCTCCACCAAAGATACCAGACAAGCAGTTAGATGAAAGAGAGCACACAATAGAAGAATGGAAAGGTAAGAACAACATTTTAAATTTGTCTTTGGGGCTTGCCATCCGATAAAGGATATTGTGTTACCGGAGTTCTGTTAAGAAGTTGGAATGACTAGCAGCTTCAATGTCCTTCACAGCTCAGAAACTTGCATATCATTTAAGTATATGGTAAGGTTAGATTATTAATGATTAGATGATTCTTCTGAATTCATACATTAAGTGACTTGCACATAACATGCTTCCAATTCTAATTAAGTTTAGTTAATGAGCCTTCTTAAAGGCACAATTATGGTATGGTAGTTCTCTTCCATGGCAGAGATCAGGTTCATACAGACATCAGGTAAGATGGTTGGGTCTCTGGCCAGTAAAGCTTGTCCTGCTCCAGGAGATAAGGAACATGTTTTCACCCTTGGCACTTCTCTATCCTAGGAAAATTACTTGTTGCTGATAATAGTGTCAGCTGTGTGTGAAGCTGACCTGGCATTGACCTGGCATTTAACTGCAAGTGTAGCCAAGGACAAGATCATGTTCGGCACTGTTTCTGGAAGTGTGATTGAGGGATAGAGCCATGGCTTCGGGAATAATTTTATTCCTTAATTATGCACCCTGAAATGGTCTGGTTACACTTGGGCTATATCTGTACTAGGGAAACCACACCTCCTTCGAGTAGATGCAGCTGAGTATTCCACTTTGCTGTGTGTGCACACAGCACACCAAAGCCCAAGAAATTTGCCTACCAGTACCCGTAGAAGGGCAGTATTCACACTTCGTGGCCATAGCCCTTCCCCTGGCTACATGAGGGAGTGCCGCCCTGACCCTCCCTCAGTTCCTTCTTACCACCTGTGGCTGGAGTGGGAGCTTTGTGTGGTCTTAACCTCAACCCTTCAGCTAGTTTAGTTTTTTCTTCTAATATGTACTGTAAGTAGTACCCTTAGCATTAGCTTAGTGTTAGTTGTATTAGTTTAGTTTCCTCAGTGATACTCTTACAGGGGTTAAATGTCCTTCATGTGGGAAAGTTATCCCCACCAGGAATCCCTACATGTGGTACTTGCTGTCTCAGCGAGGCCCGTGTTAGAGTGTTGTGTAATCTGCAGATTGTTCAAGAAATAGACTCAAGTGGCTCGGGACCTTTGCCTAAAGCATCACCTGCTTGAACAAGCCATGCGGCCTGCTTCAGAACCAAGGCCCTTATCAGGTCAGAGATCACCCTCCGGTTCCAAGAGTGAAGTTTCGTGTTCTGGAGCAGGCGCCACTCTGAAGAACCAGAGGAGCCATTCCCCATCATCTGCGTGGAGACAAAGGTCACATAAGACCGATTGAGACTGCTCCAGGTCTTGGAGAACCTTTTCCATCTCCCCCAGGAAAAGTGTGGACTGGCACAGAGTTGGTGCCAGTGTGCAGGATGGCGTGGGTACCTCTAACCCTTCCCTGGTACTGAGTAGGGAGGTTAGAAACCCTGTACTATTGACTTGGGTTTTGGCCTCTGCCGCATGTCTTCTGCTTTTCCTTTGTTCCAGGACTTTGTCATCTATAACCCTGTCGACTGAACAAGCCGCTGGACCTTGGATCAGTTGGCACCAGGCTCCAGTGTTCCCCTTTCACAGTTGTGGAAGAAGAGCCGGTACTGGGAATCTCCTCGGCACCTTTGCAGTCAGCACTGCAAATGTTACGATGGCAGCTTTCGCTGCCCTTGAAATTGGTACTGTCAAGCACTCCAGTACCGCTGCTGACTTTGGGATTGACGCCACTTCCGGCACCAGCATGCTCAGGACCAATGGTACTGCTTCGTTCTGGATGACGGACAAGTCAGACTGGTTACTCGCTGCCTCTTATCTCGCTCTGCTCTCATTCCAGTGATCCTGAGGCTCCTCGGCATCCAAGTCAGGGTCGTTATCCCCCCCACCACACACACACTGTCCATCGCTTGACCAGCATCGGGGGCCTTAGATGGAGTACTGGGATTGGCGCTTGTCTCGTGGCTGGCCCGGCGCCGATTGGCCACCAATGCCTTATCCATGCCATTGGAATCCGTGGGGTGTTCCTTGGTCACGGAGGTCCCACTCTTTGCCTCAGTCAAAGACGAGATCACCAGCCATGTCTGTGGTGGTGACCATCGATCTGCCACCAGCCCAGGCACCAGCACTCCTCCTCCCTGCGGAGCCTCCAGAGTCATCCCATCCAGATCCATCACCCCTGGAACAGGATCTGGCTTTAGCCCAGTTAAAGGCCTCATCTTTGTCTCTGGACGATTCTGTGCTGCCTGGTTCATTCCTCTTTTGGTACTGGAGGATTTTAAGGTATACTGATACCTTTTGCAACCTGTAGCTGCTTCTCTCAGTATCCAAGTGGAGTTCTTGCAAGCGAACAGCCACAAATTAGTGGATAGCCTGCAGCCGTCTGCCCCTGGAAGTGTCTCCCTCCCTATCAATGATGTGCTCCTTGAATCTGCTATGGCCTTCTGGAGCACGCCGGCTTCGGTACCACCTGCAGCTAAGCGCTTGGAAAAGTGCTATTTTGTTCTTGTGCAGGGATCTGAGGGGTTTTACTCCCGGCCAGCACCAAATTCTCTAGTTGTAGCTGCAGTGAACAACAGAGCCACACAAGGATAGGGGCTCTAAACGATTGGGCAGGGAGGTTTACACCTCCTTTTCCTTACAGATGCGAATTCCTAACCAGCATCCAGAGAATGTTTGGCAAAGTGTTCCCTTTGTCCAGCCCTCGCCAACCAGGTCAGTTGTTACTGACATCTCCCAGATGGGTTGCGGGACTCACAGGGGCTGTGGCCAGAGGAGGAGGCCTCAGTCCATATCAATGTGCTGGAGCTTTGGGCAATCTACAATGCATGTCGCACTTTTCAGGATTGTATCAGAGACTCAGTGGCTCACATGCTTACTGACAATACCGTCACAATGTGTTATGTGAACAAACAAGGGGGAGCACTCTCCAGGTTGCTCTGCCTACAGGCAATTGGGCTATGGCAGTTCTGCATTGAGGAAAACATTACCCTGATAGCCATTCACTCACCCGGAGTTCAGAATCATCTTGCGGATCCATCTCAGTAGGTATTTTTTCCCTATGTCACTAGTGGTCCCTGAAGACCATGTCCTCTGGGTCACCTTCGGAGCTTGTGGTATCCTACAATTGACTTGTTTGCGCCACAGGACAACAGGAAATGTCATCTGTTCTGTTCCTGAGGGGCCCTCAGTCCAGGCTCCCTGTCCCACGCTTTCCACCTCAGCTGGCAGTTAGCTCTCCTGTACACCTTTCTCCCAATCCCAGTCATCCCTCAGGTCATCCTCAAGCTCAAGGTCATTCTCGTTGCCCTGGCGTGGCCGAGGCAGTGCTGGTTCTCCGACCTTCTCACACTGTCTATTCAGCCTTCCATACCGCTTCCTCCCCATCCCAACTTACTCACTTAGAACCATGGCTGCACCTTGCATCCTGCGCTCAGTTCCCTGCATCTAACCAAGCGGAAACAATTTTTGGTGTGGTCATTAGCCCACAGAATCCAGCCAATGCTGTCCTCTATCCAGGACATTCTGGAGTACCTGCTGCACCTTCAGGCATTGGGGCTTGTGTTTAGTTCATTGAGAGTGCATCTGGCAGCAATATCAGTATTTCATCCACCACCACCACCACCCCGCTCAGGGAAGATCAGTCTTCTCCAGTGCCATGGTAGCAAGATTCTTACAAAGGCCCCTTCATCTACATCCTCTATTCCTAGAACCAGTCCCTCTGTGGGACCTTAACGCCATCCTAGCAGCCTTAATGAGACCTCCGTTCAAACCTCCTGTTCCACTTTTGTGTCAGAAAACTGCATTCCTGGTAGCGATAACATCTGTAAGGAGAGTGTTGAGACTTGAAGGCTCTGATGGCAGAGTCTCCTTATATACAATTCTCCAAAGATGAAGTGACTGTATGACTACATCCTAAGTTTTAGTGTACAATGGTTTCTCAATTTCATTTGAAGCAGGTGGTATACTTACCTGTTTTCTTTCCGAAGCTGCGTTCATCTCCGGAGGAGATGTGTCTCCATACGTTAGCTTTTTATCTGGACAGGATTAACCGTTTCATGCTTCCCCTTGTCTGTTTGTGTCATATGCAGACCACATGAAGGGTCAAGCGGTTTCTTCACAGACAATGGATAACATCCTGCACATGAAATAGCTTTGGCTCGCCCCCTGAGCGGGAGCGAGCTCATTCTACGAGCGTGCAAGCAACATCCATTGCATTCCTCAGTGACGTTTCCATATTGGATATTTGCAAGGCTGCTGCGTGGTCATTGATGTATATGTGCATGAAGCATTATGCCATAACCACATCTTCCAGCCCAGGGTGGATGCAAGCTTTGGTAGAATCATAGAATATCAGAGTTGGAAGGGATCTCAAGAGGTCATCTAGTCCAACCCCCTGCTCAAAGCAGGACCAATTCCCAGCTAAATCATCCCAGCCAGGGCTTTGTCAAGCCGGGCCTTAAAAACCTCCAAGGAAGGAGACTCCACCACCTCCCTAGGTAACGCATTCCAGTGTTTCACCACCCTCCTAGTGAAA